CGGTGAACAAGGTGAGTTACAATTGCCTTTGCCTAACTCTTCTCTTTCTCTTTTTCTCCTCTTTGTCTTCTGGACTTGATAGAGTCTTTTTTTTTAAAGTACATTCTGCTGAGAGCCTTACTCCTTCATACTGCTCCCATAATCTCTGTTCTTCTTACTCTCCGTGCAGCTTAGATGGTAGAATGTGTAGGACTTTATCTGCAGGGAAACCTTGGGGATCAGGGATCTTTAGTCTCCCTTCCTCCCAGTGCAGCTTGTCCTTGTTCACCAGCCTCTGCCTTTTCTCTCACCAAGTAGGTTGTCAGGCTGCACCTCAAACACTGCCTGTGCTTTCCCTGCCCTCTCTCCCAGGTGCACCTCCATCCCACAGCCATGTCCTGCTACGATCTGTGCCGTCCCTGTGGCCCAACCCCACTGGCCAACAGCTGCAACGAGCCCTGTGTCAGGCAGTGCCAGGACTCCCGGGTGGTGATCCAGCCCTCTCCTGTGGTGGTGACCCTGCCCGGACCCATCCTCAGCTCCTTCCCCCAGAACACCGCTGTGGGATCCACCACCTCCGCTGCTGTTGGCAGCATCCTGAATGAGGAGGGAGTGCCCATCAACTCTGGGGGCTTCAACCTCTCTGGCCTTGGTGGCCGCTACTACGGCAGAAGGTGCCTGCCCTGCTAAAGCCGGGCTGGATGTCCAGTGAGTGCATCGACCAGGAAGCCCAAAGCCAGGTGCCGGACTGAGGATGGAGCTGGTGGCCAGGGTTTCCAGATGGGTTGTGCCCCTTTGTTCCCTCCTGCAAAGGAGGGAGGGAAGCAAGGTGCCAGCCTGTGTTGTCTGGAAACATGGCCAGCTGATGTCTTCTACTACTCCTGCTTTCTTCTCCACATCATGAGTCCCTGTTGTCTCCTGCTGTCCTGTGCCACGGGTTAATCCTGAAGCAAGTCGAGAGCCATCCAGCTCATCTTCCACTCTTCAAGTGTCTGTGAGGAAGCCGTGTTCCCCACTGCTGTGAAGGGGTGCCTGACTGCCAGCTGCCCTTGTAGCAGCCTGGACCAGGTCCCTTCCACCATGTGCTGCTTTATTTCACTCTTTATACTCATTAAAGTCAATGTTGCATTGTAACCTGCTGTCTCCTCGTCCTCCTTCCCACCTCATACACACAGCCAAGCTGTCCAGCAGAAATGTGATTCTGTGGAGGGAAAAAGGGTGGGTGGCCAAGGGAGTGACATGTCTTGGAAACTCTCTGGAGGGCTACAAGGGAGTATAAAAAAACACCTCTGTCACCAGTGGAGCAGTCTTGTAGTCAAAAGCATTGTGTTGCGGAGTTCTGTGTGTCACTGTGTCCTGAAGGTACATGACTCTGGAGCAGACATGTAGCAAATATTCCAGAAACCCCACTCGAGTGCTGTGCAAGCTGTGCCTGGAGAGGTCCCAGGTGGTGATCCATTGTGCCTCCAAACAGGCCTCAAGCTGTGAGATTGAGGGAGTGGTACTCTGTAAATTCTATTTTTAGTCCCTCCATCCCATGCCCTTTTCTTCCGCAAGCAATAATTTGATCCTGCTCCTCTGGTGGTGCTTCAGGCAGAGGAGGAGGCACATCTTGTGCTGTCTTCCTCCAACCATCCTTGCAAAGGCTTGTGGACATTGTATTCTGCTGAGCAGGGTTGCGTGTCCTCTGGAAATCCTGCCTAGTGTATAGTGACTCTTGGTGGTCCAAGCAGCAGCTGGGGCAAAGACATGGGCAGGAAGAAGAAGTTGTATCAGTTGGGCAGCATATGCTTGGGTCACTGAGCTGCCTGCAACTTTGCATGACATGTCCAGCAGAAAGTGTTGGAGGGGGAATGGCCTTAATCCCTTACCACTCGTAGTCTGCTGCTGAAGGCAGGAAGGGATGAAGGAGAGAAGGTGGAAAAACAGCCAGGCAAACTTCTGCTGAGAACAAAGCTCAATCTCAGAGAGGGAGAGACAGTCTGAAACCCAAGAGCAGAGGTGGCCTGTATGGAAAGGCAATGCCTAGTGCAGTGTGAGTGAGCAGAGCATGAGAGTGAGCGAGTGATGGTGCCCACCCTTGTGTGTGCATGTCCAGGCTGAAGCCTCAGGGCTGTGAGGAGACCTGTCCCATTCATCAGGAAACGCTTTAAAGTGAGGCCCTGGAGGGCAAGGGGATGGCATCACCTCGTGAGGTGGGACACTCCTCAGCACTGGCTGCGTCATCTGTCTGTGCTGACGTGTCATTTCTTGCGGAAACACTTTGGTCTCTAATACAGTCGCTTGAAAGGAGCCTGTGTGGTGGAATGGGCATGTCATGAACAGGGAAATGAAAAGGCAGCGTTGCAGGGAACATAAGCAGTGTCCCCATTTCTTTAATTGGGATGTTTTGCATGCAAGATGAGCTTGTTGGTGAACACATTACCTGCGCCGAGGGTGCCTCTAGGGCCTGGGGTGGTCTGAACCAGTATAAAAGGCAGTCCAACTGCAGTCTCCCTCATCCACTTCTCTTGCCTTCTCCTCCTCGGTGAACAAGGTGAGCTCCAGCTGCCTCTGCCTCTTGCTGTCTCTCTCCTATTTCTCCTGTTTGTCTTCTGGCCTTGATCGAGTCCTTTTCTTGATGTAGCTTTTGCTGACAACCTTGCTGCTTGATCCTGCTCCCATCATCTCTGTTGTCCTTATTCTCCAGTGAGGGGAAGTGGGAGAAGGTCCTGGGCCCTCACTGCAGAGAAACCTTGTGGACTGCAGCTCCTAATACCCTCTTTCTCCCTATGCATCCTCTCTCTGGTCTTGAACCTCTGTTTTTTCTCTTCCCCAGAAGGCTGTCAGGCTGCACCTCAAACACTGTCTGTGCTTTCCCTCCCTTCTCTCCCAGGTACACCTCCATCCCACAGCCATGTCCTGCTACGATCTGTGCCGTCCCTGTGGCCCAACCCCACTGGCCAACAGCTGCAACGAGCCCTGTGTCAGGCAGTGCCAGGACTCCCGGGTGGTGATCCAGCCCTCTCCTGTGGTGGTGACCCTGCCCGGACCCATCCTCAGCTCCTTCCCCCAGAACACCGCCGTGGGATCCACCACCTCTGCTGCTGTTGGCAGCATCCTGAATGAGGAGGGAGTGCCCATCACCTCTGGGGGCTTCAACCTCTCTGGCCTTGGTGGCCGCTACTACGGCAGAAGGTGCCTGCCCTGCTAAAGCCGGGCTGGACGTCCAGTGAGTGCATCGACCAGGAAGCCCAAAGCCAGGTGCCGGACTGAGGACGGAGCTGGTGGCCAGGGTTTCCAGATGGGTTGTGCCCCTTTGTTCCCTCCTGCAAAGGAGGGAGGGAAGCGAGGTGCCAGCCTGTGTTGTCTGGAAACATGGCCAGCTGACGTCTTCCACTACTCCTGCTTTCTTCTCCACATCATGAGTCCCTGTTGTCTCCTGCTGTCCTGTGCCACGGGTTCATCCTGAAACAAGTCGAGAGCCATCCAGCTCATCTTCCACTCTCCAAGTGTCTGTGAGGAAGCCGTGTGTCCGATTGCTGTGAAGGGGTGCCTGACTGCCAGCTGCCCTTGTAGCAGCTTGGACTGGGTCCCTTCCACCATGTGCTGCTTTATTTCCTCTTTATACTCATTAAAGTCAATGTTGCATTGTAGTTTGATGTCTCCTTGTGTTTCTTCCCTCCTGAGAAACCCAGCCAAGGTGTCCATGGGAGAACGTGATGCTGATCTGCGGGAATGGGTGGGCGGGCAAGACTAGGTGTTCGACCTCTGTTGTGCCCAGAGGAGCTGGCAACCCTCAAGGACTATGACCATTAGAAAAAACATGGGGTATTGGAGGGTTGTATGGAGTTTTCCGAGTCTGCACAGGGTGACCAAGAACTTCCCCAGGGGAAGTATTATTAGTAAGCAAGGTTGGATACTGGCTTCCAGTTGATGAGGCAAGCCTTTGATTAATGGGTCCGCAACAGAGCTGCAGCAGATGTGTATGAAGAGTCCATCAAGGAACTGGAAAAAGCAAAATCATAGAATGCTTAGAGTTGGAAGGGGCCTTGAACCTCATCCAGTCCCACCCCCTGCCCTGGGAAGGGACACCTCCCACCAGACCAGGTGGACACACAAGTCCAAGTAGGTGATGTCAGTTGCTCATCCCTTATCCACCAACACTGTAACACTGTCGTGGAGACCACCAGATTTGTCAGGCATGATTCACTCTTTGTGAAGCCGTGTTGCTCTCACAGCTCACCTCATTGTTTTCTGTGTGTCTTAGTGTAGTTTCCAGGAGGATCTGCTCCATGATCTTTCCAGGCACAAAGGTGAGACTGACCAGCCTGTAGTTCCTCTGGTCTTCCTTTTTTTCATTTTTTGAAATGAAAAATTTTGAATGGCATTTTGAAATGCCGTTGATATGGCAAGACATTTCACTGCGACCTAATGTCCAATTGGCCAAGGCTCTGACAACAGGTTACCACTTGCAATGTGGCTCTGCATTTCTCTCCCCCAAGCACTTCTTCCAAACCCTGGAAGTGGAGGGACATCCACATTAGTTGAAGGGACATGTCACCATCAGGGCTTTGGTGTAAAGGGCGATGTGAGACCTCTGTTAGTTTTTGGCACAATGGGGTTGGTTGTATTTGGTATGAGTGTGTAAAGTAGGTAAGGAAGGGGGATGGACACACAGGGATTTTCCTCCCTCATCTGAAAGTGACGGGTAGCACCAGTGATATGTCCTGGAAACTCTCTGGAGGGCTACAAGGGAGCAAGAAAAGCATCTTTGCCCCCAGCGGAGCAGTTTGTGGAGTGTTGTGGAGACCTTCTGTGTGTGTCACTGTGTCCTAAGACATGACCCTGGAGCAGACATGCAGCAAATACTCCAGATACCCCACTTAGGCTGTGCTTGGAAAGGTCCCAAGCAGTGATACTTTTGTCCCTCCGACCAGGCCTCAAGCTGGGGAGTGGTACCCTGCCAGCTCTATTCTCTGTTTCCTTCCCACCCATTTTCATCCACAGGCAATAATTTGGTCGTGCTCCTCAGGTCATGCTTCCGGTAGAGGAGGACGTAGCCCTTACGCTCTGCTCCTCCAACTGTCCTTGCAAAGATTCATGGACCCTGCTCTCTGCTGAGCAGGGTTGGATGTCCTGTGGAAATCTTACCAAGTATATGGTGGTTCCTGGTGGCCAAAGCAGCAGCTGTGGCTAAGACACGGGCAGGAAGAAGGAGTTGTATTGGTTGGACAGCTCATGCATTGGTCACTGGGCTTTCTCCAACTTTGAAAGATGTGTCCAGCAGAGAGTGTTTGGAGATGAATTCAGAACAACTGGAGTCACTGTTTAAGGCAGGAAGGGATGAAAGAGAAAAGGAAGATGGAAAAGGAGCCAGGCAAACTTCTGCCAAGAGCAAAGCCCAATCTTGAAGAGAAATATACTGAAACCCAGGAGCAGAGGTGGCCTGTATGGAAAGGCAATGCCTAGTGCAGTGTGAGTGAGCAGAGCAGGAGAGTGAGCGAGTGATGGTGCCCACCCTTGTGTGTGCATGTCCAGGCTGAAGCCTCAGGGCTGTGAGGAGACCTGTCCCATTCACCAGGAAATGCTTTAAAGTGAGGCCCCGGAGGGCAAGGGGATGGCATCACCTCGTGAGGTGGGACACTCCTCAGCATTGGCTGCGTCATCTGTCTGTGCTGACGTGTCATTTCTTGTGGAAAAGTTTTGGTCTCTAATACAGTCACTTGAAAGGAGTCTGTGTGGCTGAACAGGCACATCATGAACAGGGAAATGAAAAGGCAGCGTTGCAGGGAACATAAGCAGTGTCCCCATTCTTTAATTGGGATGCTTTGCATGCAAGATGAGCTTGTTGGTAAACACATTACCTGCGCCAAGGGTGCCTGTGGGCCCTGGGGTGGTCTGAATCCGTATAAAAGGCAGTCCAACTGCAGTCTCCCTCATCCACTTCTCTTGCCTTCTCCTCCTCGGTGAACAAGGTGAGCTCCAACTGCCTCTGCCTCTTGCTGTCTCTCTCCTATTTCTCCTGTTTGTCTTTTGGTCTTTATCAAGTCTTTTTTTTTTAAATGTAGCTTTTGCTGACATCCTTGCTGCTTGATCCTGCTCCCACCATCTCTGTTGTGTTCTCCAGTCAGGGGAGATGGGAGAAGGTCTTGGGCTCTCATTGCAGAGAAACCTTGTGGACTGTGGCTCTTAATACCCTCTTTCTCCCTGTGCATCCTCTCCCTGGTCCTGAACCTCTGTCTTTTCTCTTCCCCAGAAGGCTGTCAGGGTGCACCTCAAACACTGCCTGTGCTTTCCCTGCCCTCTCTCCCAGGTGCACCTCCATCCCACAGCCATGTCCTGCTACGATCTGTGCCGTCCCTGTGGCCCAACCCCACTGGCCAACAGCTGCAACGAGCCCTGTGTCAGGCAGTGCCAGGACTCCCGGGTGGTGATCCAGCCCTCTCCCGTGGTGGTGACCCTGCCCGGACCCATCCTCAGCTCCTTCCCCCAGAACACCGCCGTGGGATCCACCACCTCTGCTGCTGTTGGCAGCATCCTGAATGAGGAGGGAGTGCCCATCACCTCTGGGGGCTTCAACCTCTCTGGCCTTGGTGGCCGCTACTACGGCAGAAGGTGCCTGCCCTGCTAAAGCCGGGCTGGACGTCCAGTGAGTGCATCGACCAGGAAGCCCAAAGCCAGGTGCCGGACTGAGGACGGAGCTGGTGGCCAGGGTTTCCAGATGGGTTGTGCCCCTTTGTTCCCTCCTGCAAAGGAGGGAGGGAAGCGAGGTGCCAGCCTGTGTTGTCTGGAAACATGGCCAGCTGACGTCTTCTACTACTCCTGCTTTCTTCTCCACATCATGAGTCCCTGTTGTCTCCTGCTGTCCTGTGCCACGGGTTCATCCTGAAGCAAGTCAAGATTGGTTGTATTTGGTATGAGTGTGTAAAGTAGGTAAGGAAGGGGGATGGACACACAGGGATTTTCCTCCCTCATCTGAAAGTGACGGGTAGCACCAGTGATATGTCCTGGAAACTCTCTGGAGGGCTACAAGGGAGCAAGAAAAGCATCTTTGCCCCCAGCGGAGCAGTTTGTGGAGTGTTGTGGAGACCTTCTGTGTGTGTCACTGTGTCCTAAGACATGACCCTGGAGCAGACATGCAGCAAATACTCCAGATACCCCACTTAGGCTGTGCTTGGAAAGGTCCCAAGCAGTGATACTTTTGTCCCTCCGACCAGGCCTCAAGCTGGGGAGTGGTACCCTGCCAGCTCTATTCTCTGTTTCCTTCCCACCCATTTTCATCCACAGGCAATAATTTGGTCGTGCTCCTCAGGTCATGCTTCCGGTAGAGGAGGACGTAGCCCTTACGCTCTGCTCCTCCAACTGTCCTTGCAAAGATTCATGGACCCTGCTCTCTGCTGAGCAGGGTTGGATGTCCTGTGGAAATCTTACCAAGTATATGGTGGTTCCTGGTGGCCAAAGCAGCAGCTGTGGCTAAGACACGGGCAGGAAGAAGGAGTTGTATTGGTTGGACAGCTCATGCATTGGTCACTGGGCTTTCTCCAACTTTGAAAGATGTGTCCAGCAGAGAGTGTTTGGAGATGAATTCAGAACAACTGGAGTCACTGTTTAAGGCAGGAAGGGATGAAAGAGAAAAGGAAGATGGAAAAGGAGCCAGGCAAACGTCTGCTGAGAACAAAGCTCAGTCTCAGAGAGAGAGAGACAGTCTGAAACCCAAGAGCAGAGGTGGCCTGTATGGAAAGGCAATGCTTAGTGCAGTGTGAGTGAGCAGAGCAGGAGAGTGAGCGAGTGATGGTGCCCACCCTTGTGTGTGCATGTCCAGGCTGAAGCCTCAGGGCTGTGAGGAGGCCTGTCCCATTCACCAGGAAAAAGCAGCAGCTGTGGCTAAGACACGGGCAGGAAGAAGGAGTTGTATTGGTTGGACAGCTCATGCATTGGTCACTGGGCTTTCTCCAACTTTGAAAGATGTGTCCAGCAGAGAGTGTTTGGAGATGAATTCAGAACAACTGGAGTCACTGTTTAAGGCAGGAAGGGATGAAAGAGAAAAGGAAGATGGAAAAGGAGCCAGGCAAACTTCTGCCAAGAGCAAAGCCCAATCTTGAAGAGAAATATACTGAAACCCAGGAGCAGAGGTGGCCTGTATGGAAAGGCAATGCCTAGTGCAGTGTGAGTGAGCAGAGCAGGAGAGTGAGCGAGTGATGGTGCCCACCCTTGTGTGTGCATGTCCAGGCTGAAGCCTCAGGGCTGTGAGGAGACCTGTCCCATTCACCAGGAAATGCTTTAAAGTGAGGCCCTGGAGGGCAAGGGGATGGCATCACCTCGTGAGGTGGGACACTCCTCAGCACTGGCTGCGTCATCTGTCTGTGCTGACGTGTCATTTCTTGTGGAAAAGTTTTGGTCTCTAATACAGTCACTTGAAAGGAGCCTGTGTGGCTGAACAGGCACATCATGAACAGGGAAATGAAAAGGCAGCGTTGCAGGGAACATAAGCAGTGTCCCCATTCTTTAATTGGGATGCTTTGCATGCAAGATGAGCTTGTTGGTAAACACATTACCTGCGCCAAGGGTGCCTGTGGGCCCTGGGGTGGTCTGAATCCGTATAAAAGGCAGTCCAACTGCAGTCTCCCTCATCCACTTCTCTTGCCTTCTCCTC